CCATATTTCTTTGGTAGTATCACAAGCTGATACTCTGTTGTACTCATCAGGTCCTACGCCACACATCAATATTTTCTTAGGACGATAGTTCTTTTCTACAGCTTTTCTGTCAATGTCGTTGTACTCTCTTCTCCCTTTGGAAACCAATGGTCCAGTTTCTTCATGGGAACATGTGGACCATCACAAATGATGTCCCACAGCTCTGAATCTTCGGCCATCATAAAATCATGTATTCGGCTCTTCCACTAGCCGTAGTATTGACCATTGAATCTGAGAGGTCTATAGGTTGATTGTCCTTCTTCAAAGTTTGGTGGAGCAGCCATTGAGGATCCTTCCTAGGTGTTAGCCTGATAGGAGGAACCTGCTCTGATACCAATTATTAGCTTATATGAGTCCACCAAACTATAGAGTACCTGGTCCTCTATGAGACTGATACGTAGAGTGCAGTAAAGACTGAATGTAAAGAAGGTAAGAGATTTTCTACGTGGAAAAATCCCACACAATGGGATCAAAAAACCACGATCTACCCTTGTAGGATTTTAACTATACTAACTTGTAATCTACCTATTACAAGCCACTTTGCAAACACCCTATTGCAAAGACTTCAAACTAACTTATGATGCAACCACCACAAGCCACTCTCTAACTCTCCTAGTTACAGAGGATTTAACTTATGACTATTCCTAGTCACAACATAAACTCTAAAGTTTACGAATTTGGTTTGTTCCTAAGACAACGCTTCTAAGAAAGCAAACTAGGAATTACAATGTTGAACAATTAAAAAGATTACAACTCAACTATGGATGTACATAAAGCTCGTTTAGAAACTGATCCTTAGTGGAGTTGTCTTCTTGTTCTTGATACACTAGTGACTTCAATGTCGGATGCATGCTTTTTGTTCTTGAGAGAATATCACTGAATGCACAAGTGATGGTGTGTCTTGCACCAGGTTGTTTTATCACAAAAGATATCACAATGGATAGTGATGCCAACTCTTGGTGTACTTCTTCCCAGTGAGAAGTGACTGCTGTATTGTCTGCACAGCCACTTCTGGGCAGTTACGTTCCAACTGGATAGTGGACTTTATACTTCTGTCAGGACACACCAACGGACAAGGTCCTAGTTGTGTTCCTCTTCTGTAACAGTTGCCAGATGGTCACTTTCTTCTGCTACGTTCCAGCTGTGCACTTGACCTGTATTTCTGTCAGAGAACCCCAAGGGAGCAAGTCCCTGTTGTGTTTCTCTTTATATTGATTGCGTACAGTCACTGACTTGTGCTTTTGTCGGAGAACCCTAAGAGACCAGGGCATCGGGTCCCTATTGTGTTCCTCCCTGTGGTCGTTCATCCATTCGCTGATTTTTAGACTTCGAACAATTCACATGAGATGTGTATCCTGTGGGACAAGGTTCTCTATTTGGTTCTTCACAACATATTTGTTAGATCATCAAAACATAAGAAGTATAAAACTAAGACATTGAAAACCCATCACTTACATTGCTAATGTGTAAATAATTCTCGTTGGAATTGTTGAAACTTGTAGGAATTATAGAGTTCTGTTGTAGTATTCCTTTGTAGGAATTTGTAGGAATCCTTATAAGAACTCACGTTAGTATTTGGAAAACTCACATCTAACTCTTGGTATTGAAAAAGCTAGAAGGAAATGTCTTTTGTAAAGAATTTGTAGGAATCCTTATAAGAACTCACGTTAGTACTTGGAAAACTCACAATTGATTCTTGGTATTGAAACAAAACTAGAAGGAAATGTCTTTTGTATATTAAATGTTAAGTTGCCACCTATTTAAAATGGAATAAGAGTCATACTTCCATCAAATCTTGGCTGCCACGTTTGGAGATATAAGACTTATCCAAATATCTGGATTAATTATCCACTAATCATTTGATTAATTTGTTAATTTCCCATTAACCACTCTTTAACAAATTACCCACATAATTAAGAATTATTTTCACTTACTTAAAATATTACTCACTTTTTACATAACTTATACACCTTACTATCATGGCCATGTGGCACATTGTATGGTACTAGTCCATAAATACCAGGTATTTTAGCTCGACCCGTATTTTTTTCCCAAAATGCCAAATTTCAATGGAATTAATTTCTTTTGATTTGCTTACCCTCTCACCTTCACGAACTTATCACTTGTTTGAAATAGCATAATCCTTATAATCTCTAAATAATCTTTTCCTTGGACTGATGTCAATTACCTTATGACAAATTCAACGTACAATACTATAGGGTGCAACATTGTCGTAATTTAATACTGCGAAGCGTAACATCATCGTAATGTAATACTGCAAGGCGTAACATCACCGTAATATAATATTGTAGGACGTAACATTATCGTAATATAATACTGCGAGACGTAATATCGACGTAATATTGCGGGGCGTAATACTAGGATAGAACTACTCTGATACCAAGTTTGTCACGTCCCAAACCTGAAGAGGCGTGGCCGGCACCTGGTGCAATACTTGGCCCGAGCGTACCACTTTGTAACTATAAACTCTGGAGGGCTAACCCTCAACTTAGGCCGATAAGGCCATATTCTGAATCATATGAAAATATCGTCTNATATATAACTATGGAGGCTGATGAGGCCGCCATGAACATCTACTGATATACAAACTATAAAGTACATCTACAAGCCTCTAGAGATAATTGAAATGTACCATGGTCGAGACAGGGCCTCGACCTACCCATCTAACCTGTGTATATAAAATGGACTCCAAGGTCTAGACCTAGTGACTCTGAGGAAGTGGAGCTTACAAACCAAGCTCATATTTGACTCTATCTGCTGGGTGGGTCTGTCCAATTGTCAATGAGGACCTGCAAGCATGAAATGCAGCATCCCTACCAAAAGGGACGTCAGTATGAAATAATGTACTAAGTATGTAAGGAAACAAAATAACCGAAAGATGAAACTGAACTGATAATATAATAAATGAAAGTAACTGGGTGTCAAAGATAATCTGAAGATATGCTTGCCTACTGATTCTGACTCAACTCTCTCAATATAGTAAGTAAAATAGTTGGCCGGCCTTATAAGGCTCGGTATGTGTAACTGCTCTGCCGTAGTATGCTCGCTCATAGGCGCTCGACCATACTAGGCTCAGTATCTTGGCCATTCTAGCTTGCTCATAGGCGCTCGGCCATAGTAGGCTCGGTATATAACTCACCATCTAACCAGAGGTTGCCCAATAGGGGTCTTCCCATCGATTATAGCTCAATGGTAGTGAAAATAATGTAACACTGTATATATATAGACTATATGCTCTCTTGGCTGAAAGAAGACAAAACTAAACTGAATTTGAAGTCCAAATAAAGGAGAACACTGTAACTTATGAGACTAGGATAATGTACATAAGTTCAAGAATACCAACTTCTCTTTATGTCTCATTATTAAGCATATGTAGTTATGGGATCCTACCAAAATGAAGGAAAAGTTTAGCCTTAACATACCTTATCACAAACTTTCCAATCACCTAGTTGAAATCGCCTCTGATGGGTTTTCAATGTCTTTGCCTTATGCTTCTTATGTTTTAATAATCTAACAAACTTGTTGTGAAGAACCAGATAGAGAACCTGACCCACATGGTATACATTTCAAATGAATAATGTCCAGTCTGATCTCCGGCAAATGAATGAACAACCACAGGGAGGAACACCAACAAATGAATGAACAACCACAGGGAGGAACACAACAGGGACCTGGTGACCTGGTCCCTTAGGGTTCTCCGATAGAAGTACAAGTTAGTGACTGTCCGCAACTATTATAAAAAGGAACACAACAGGGACCTGGTGACCTGGTCCCTTAGGGTTCTCCGATAGAAGTACAAGTTAGTGACTGTCCGCAACTATTATAAAAAGGAACACAACAGGGACCTGGTGACCTGGTCCCTTAGGGTTCTCCGATAGAAGTACAAGTTAGTGACTGTCCGCAACTATTATAAAAAGGAACACAACAGGGACCTGATCCCATAGGGTTCTCCGACAAGAAGTAAAGTCAATTGTATAGTTGGAACATAACAACAGAAAGTGACCATCTCGCAACTATTGCAAAAGATGAACATAATTGGGACCTGGTCCCTTAGTTTTCTCTGACAGAAGTACAAGTCAACTATACAGCTGGAACGCAACTGCACAAAAGTGACTATGCAGTAGACAGTGCATCAGTCACTTCTCATTGGGAAGAAGCGTGTACCAAATAATAGACATCACTATCCATTATGATGTCTTTTGTGATATAACAACCTGGTGCAAGGAACAACACTTCACTTGTGCATTCAGTAATATTCTCTCAAGCTTAACAGTGTTCATCCGGCATTGAAGTCACTGGTGTGTCAAGAACAAGAAGACAACTCCACTAAGGATTAGTTTCATAATGAGTTTATGTATATCCATAGTTGAGTTATAATCATGTTATTTGTTCTTCATTGTATATCCTATTTTGCTTTCTTAGAAGCTTTGTCTTAGGAAAACCAAAATCCATAAACTTTCGAGTTTATGTTGTGACTAGGATTAGTCATAAGTTTAAAGTCTTTGTAACTAGAAGAGTCATAAAGTGTCTTGTGGTGAGAGCATCACAAGTTAGTTGAATTCTTTGTAATAAGGTTATTACAAAGTGCCTTGTAATAGTGAGATTGCAAGTTAGTGAAGTTAAAAGCCTACAAGTGTAGGTCGTGGTTTTTTGATCCCCTTGTGTGGGATTTTCCACGTAAAAATCCCTTGTCTTCTTTACTTACAGTTTTATTAGCATTCTCAGCTTGACCTCATAGAGGACCAGGTACTCTACTGTTTGGTGGACTCATACAAACTAACAATTGGTATTAGAGCGGGTTCTTTCTAAAAGGCTAACACCTAGAAAGGATGTCAATGGCTGCTCCACCCAACTTTGAGGAAGGACAATCAACCTACAGACCTCCTAGATTCAATGGTCAATACTACGGCTGGTGGAAGACTCGCATGCATGATTTTATAATGGACGAAGACTCAGAACTATGGGACATAATCTGTGATGGTCCACATGTTCCTATGAAGAAGTTTGAAGAAACTGGACCAATGGTGCCAAAAGACAGAAAAGCCATAGAAAAGAACTATCGTGCCAAGAAAATCTTAATGTATGGCATAGGACCCGATGAGTACAACAGAGTCTCAGCTTGTGATACTGGCAAAGAAATATGGGAAGCGTTGCAAACCGCATACAAAGAAACTACTCAGGTTAAACAGTCCAAGATTGACATGCTCATTACAGAGTATGAGCTCTTTAGGATGAAGGATGATGAGTCTATACAAGATATGCACACCAGATTCACCTCCTTCATAAATGAGCTTTATTTACTTGGAGATGTTATTCCCAAAAACAAGCTTGTAAGGAAAATCCTCAGTGCTCTACCTGGTTCTTGAGAAAGTAAGGTAAATGCCATCACTGAAGCTAAAGGTCTACAAACTCTAACCATGGATGAGTTGATTGGTAAGCTGAAGACATACGAGATGAAAAGAAAGAAAGATAATGAAAGGAGAGAGCCGAAGAAGGAAAAGAACCTGGTACTCAAAGCTGAAAGCAGAGACTCAAGTGATGAAGATAGTGACATGGCCTATCTTACTAAAAGATTTCAAAAGATGGTTCGAAGAAATGGTGGTATACCAAAGAGGGGCAGTTCAAGTAAAGCAAGGAACAATGATCTCTATCACAGGTGCGGAAATCCATGGCATTTCATCAAAGACTGCCCACTCACGAAACAGGAGCAATACAAACAAAATCCTAAAAAAGCAGCAAAAAGGAACTCGGTTCCACACAAACGATTCAATCGAAAAAGTGCAGCTGACAATATTGTGAAACAGGCTCTTGTTGCTTGGGGAGACTCTTCCAGTGAATCAAAAAGAGAACCAGATGCTGAAAACATTTCCATGATGGTAGTGGAAACTGAAGCAACGAAGTATGATTTATTGTTCACGTTGATGGCTTAGTCTGATAATGATGAAGAAGATGAAGACGATGAGGTAAATTTCAGGGATGTTCAGAGAAATCTGAAATCCTACTCTTCTAAGAAGTTAAGGTCATTAGCTAATGTTCTAATTGATGCTTATTATAGCCTTGACAATGATAAGGAGACCTTGACCATAGAACTAGGAGAAGCTGAGCAATCTAGAGATGATCTGGTGGTCTGTGTAGTGGACCTAAATGAGACCATAGCTAATCTCGGAAAAAAAAGAAGCTCTAAATGAAAAGATAACTAGTGTAGAAAATGAGAGAGATGACCTGATGGTTGTGGTGATTGACTTGAAGGAAATAATAGAAGGTCTCAGCAATGAAAACACACTCTAGAAGGAAAATTTTTAGCTACTAAGCAAGAGAGGGATGATTTTTTAGTGATAATCACTGACCTAGTGAAAGCCATTGAGAGGCTCAATAGAGAACATAGGACTGTGAGTCTTGGGAAAGGGAAGGAAGTAGCTAGTGAGACACACATCAAGCTCGAACATGAATTAAATGATGTGAAAACTAGTCTGTGGTGAATTTGAGAAAAATAGGCAACTTCAGCTGAATTGGAGAAAGTAAAAATTGATCTTGAGAAATCTCTGAAGTGGACCTGGTCCTCAGATACTGTCACTGCCATGTATTTGAATAATAGTGGAAACAGGTAGGTAATCGGGTTCCAAATGGAGAAAACTCCTTACAACCCTCACAGCAAGTACGTCATTGTTCCTGATAACTGGCTGGTACCCACTGTGGGAATAATGGGCACTTCAAAGAAAATTACCAGGACAGGGTTCAATTTGTTCAGAAAAACAAAGTGTTTACTGATGAAGTGACTACTAACAAGGGACCAGAACCGGTCGCAAGAAACGAATATTGCTTGCATGGACTAGAAAAGCCATTATCCATCCCTTTTATAATAACAAGGGACCCAAACTAAATCTAACCCATAATCTGCATGTGCAGGAAAATGGTGAGAGGAAATGGACTGCAATGAACCAAGGACAGTGTATGCTCAAAACACGTGACTAGAAGCACCATAGATTTCTTCTCACTGAAATATCTGCAGGAAAGGAATGTATCCATTGAAAAAGGAAAGGGTACATTCTCAGTGCTGGAAAAGTTGGAGAATCTCTCTATCACTCAGTTGAGAATGTGTACTATGTGGATGGCCTAAAGTACAATCTCTTGAGTGTCTCTCAAATCTACGTTAAAGGGAACAAAGTAGAGTTCTTGTCAAAAGAGTGCATAGTTACCAATCTGGTGACTGGCAAAGTGGTCTCAGTGTTCAAAAGAAACAAGAACATCTACGTTGCTGACTTTCAATCTTTACAAGCTAGTGATATGAGATGCTTGAGAAGGACCTAGTTCGTGGTCTGTCAAATATAAGATTCACCTGGACAATGGTTCTTAGAACAAAGGATGAGACTTTTGAAATGTTTAGGGCCTTTGTCAAGAAGATCCAAGTGAAGATAAAATTGAAGGTAGTATGCATTAGATCTAACCACGGGACAGAATGTGACAACGCCAAATTTGATGAGCTAGTAACAAAAATGGAATCACACACAACTTCTCAGAACCAAGGACTTCACAGCAAAATGGTATTGCTGAAAGAAAGAATAGAATTAGAAGACATGGCATGGACAATGCTCATCGACAATGGAATCGCCAAGAGTTTCTGGGCAAAATCAGTAAATACTATTTTCTACTTGGTGAATAGGTGTATGATCAGGTTCCTCCTGAATCAAAACCCACTATGAGCTGCCAAATGGAAGAAAACCAAAGACTGCTCATCTGAGAACCTTCTTGACTGAAAATGCCATGTTCTCGACAATGGGAAGGACCAGCTTGGGAAGTTTAATTCAAAGGCGATGAAGGAATCCTTCTGAAATACTCTCCACAAAGCAAAGGCCACAAAGTCTACAACAAAGGGCACACTAAGTGAAAGGAAGTGCTCATGGGGTATTCAACTAGACACCTTCCTCTAACCAAGGAAGAAACAGTGATGATCAATATAATGAACCATCTCTGGTCCATGGGAAATATCTGAGGTTTCAAATAGGGAGGCTGATATGATGAGTAAGATGAAGGAGATAGGTGAAAAATAATGCAACATCATCCTCCACTTCTCACAAGGAACCTGGTACTTCACTTACTACCACTAAAGCTGAAGAAAGAGTGGAGATGCAGTTCATGGCGCTCCACAAGTAACAGAACAAAGAGTGTAGGGAAAACAAATCAACCTCCCAAGTTCCCCTACCTATCAAGACTCAATCACAAACTGGAAACACAAAAGCTCTCATCTGTCTGATAACCTAATCACTCCCTTTTCTCTAAAGTTAGACAAGTATTAAAAATTTAAAGAAAAAATGTTTTTAGGTCCCTTCTGTATCTCCACTCCAGAATAGAATCCAAAGTCAAGTCCTTAGCAATTCTACTTGAGGGCCGCCAAAAGAAGTTTGAGATATCTTAAAAGAACTCAGCACCTGGTCCTGTATTACCCCTCAAGTGACAATTTTTAATTCTGTTGGGTATGATGAATATGTTAACTGTGTAGATTTTCTTGTGGACAGGAAAAGCACTTCTAGAGTGGTTCACTTGCCATGTTCATGTCTCATTCTTTGGGGTACAAGGAAGTAAAACTCAATGGCATCGTAAACAACTAAGGAAGAATGTGTAGCGGGAGCATCCTGCTGTGCTCAAACCTTATGAATTGAGAAGCAACAAGAAGATCTTGGGGTATCTTCTGATGGTATATCTTCTCTATCCAAGTCATAATAAGAGGACCAAGTACATTGAGGGGTAGCATTATCTTCTGAGGGTCAATATGGAGAAAGGGTTGATCTGTGGAAAATCCTGTAGCACAGAAGAAACAAGGTGAAAATGGGGTATTGAGATCTAATGGAGAACCTGATTCCCCATCAGTTGGCTATGAAAAACACCTTCAGGTAAAATTAGCTAAAGTGTTTTCTGGCCAAGCCTAACTCACATCAATACCGTTGCAGGTAAACACGCATGACAATCATAGAAGCTAAAGGTACAGTTATGAACTGCGAAAGAAGAGGTGCTAAAACCCTTTTCAAAAAATTGTCCGGGCATAAGGTTCTTGCACCATATGTTAGTAGTAATGTGTTTATTCTGCATGCCTTCTCAAAATTGTTTAACAAAATCAACTCAATTGTCATATCATCCGACTTTTCAAAGTCTGCATGTCATGTCTTGTCTCTCAAATCCCTTCATCCTCTCTACATGATAACATTTTCCCACAAACCTAGCGCCATTTTCAGAACTATTCAGAACCCGTTTCTCACCATTAGTCCTTCTTCCAATAAAACTTTCTTTCTCCCTCACAGCAAGTCATGAACCTTCGTCTCTTCTGTATAGCTGAGATCCTCTCTTCATCTCTCCCTCTCACTCTACTTATCTTCTAAATACTCCTATAATGACAATCGAACAATCGCCTCCTTCTCCCACCATTAACACCACTCCCACTTGCCTATCATCCTTGAAATTATCCCTAGAGATTCACTATTTCACTCCTTCCAATACTACTGTACCCACATCTGGTTCCTCCTTTTTTCCTATAGTTTTTCCTTTTCTGACAAACCCTATTTTTCTCCCATATATTGAGAACTCTATGTCCCGTCACTCCTCTGATCTCATCTAAGAATACTCAGGGGGTTTCACCTCTCAAGTGTTAGAGGTCCCTAAGGATGATCCTGATCAGTATCTGAACTCCTCTATTTTGGACTTAGTGACTCTCACGGAGTCACCAAAAAAGGAAGCAGCGCATAATATCATGGCTATCGCTGCTAAGAGTCTGATGAATGAAGGAGTATATCTCTCGTCTGAGTATCAGGGGGAAGAAACTCCATTCCTAGGCGATGTAACAACCATAGTACTCCTCGAGTCTTTGACTCATGAGACGTTCCCAGAAAAAACTACTGAAGAACCTGATCCTCTTCTAGGCAATCGCACTTCTGCACCTCCTAATCATCCGAAGCTCTTAGAATGCTCCTCCAAGTCACCCACTATCAGGTCACAGCAGAAAGAGGGTTTTGAGTCTATATTGTAGAAAAGTAGGAGGAGTGTCAAGACAAGGAAATAAAGGTTGATAAATCAATGGGAATTTGTCACTAACAAGAGTGTTCTAGTAAGTGGGATTGACAAAAATGCTCCAAAGGAACCTGGTTCCGTAGTGCAACAATCTTTGAAAGTTCAAAAGTCTGTAGATAAAGCTTTCGATGAAACTATTGAGAAACAAAATGGTGCATCCGTGAAAGGCAGCAGCAAGTCTAAGAAGAGTCCAGTTGAGCAAGCCATGTCTGAATATGATGTTGTGGGGCTAGTAAGCTGGAAAGGAAATTCTATTGAAGGATCTAGCAAACGAAAACGGGAAACTGTTAGAGAACCTGGTGCTCTGAGG